TATATATATATATATATATATATATATATATATAATTTTGCCCGCATTTGAAAATTATTTTATTAACTGATGGCCGTGGCACATCGAATGAAGGGCGTTTTCTGAAAGATTTTAATTTTTTTATTTAACTGGATCAGAGGATTAACACAATGGTACTGTGAAATGATGGTATGGTTTGTGAGCGATTATATGTTTTAGCAAAAGAAGGATTTGAAGCAGCACTTTTGCTTCTGCACAACGAACGTGCTGACGTGCAACTGTTTGCTGCCTGTCTGTTATATGACTCCATTCGGAAAAGATGGGACGAGTATGTTGTATCTCAAGATACTGCAAGTTTTTTTTCCATTTACTCATGTACTTTTAGAATGGTTTATCTTAGTCTCTTTTTTTCATTTTTATAGCATCTTTATTGGAATGGCTCTAATTTTCTGGAATGGTACATAAAAGTGGTGTCGAAACATGCTTTCATCTTTTAAGAGACGTGTGTTTCTACAAAAGCATTTTCAGGCTGATAGGCTAAAAATAACATTAATTAATAAGCTGACGCAGGGTGCTCACTTTCAAAATCAGTCTGTGACAAACAAGCTTTCCTCTTCGCTGGCACTTTTGGCGCTTCATTGCATCCCAGACTTATGGACTGACCCGATTCATGATCTCACCTTACATTGGGCACAACAGCCTGAGTTGTTGTTAAGGTATGTTATTAGTATCTAATAAAGGTTGATTTTTCAGCTTTGACGACGCTAAGCTCTTTTTGACGAGTCCTAGTTGCTTATTGTATACTGTATTATATCTCCTTCTAAATTGTCAAAAATACTATTTCTGGTTTTTTCAGAGTTTTAGCAGAACTTCCCGCTGAATTTCTTCGTATCAATATGCCTTTATCTCAACGATCCGCTTTAAAATCTGTGTTGCTCAAGTCTGCAACGGTATTTCTTTAAGTTTTGTATTAACTTTCTCAGGCTCGTCAGCTATCTCACTGACCCTTTATATTTTCAGCTTTTTATCTTGTAAATTTTTTGCCTTCTTGCACTCTGCTTTGTTCTCAGAAAGTAGAACATAATTAATTTCTTCATCAAAGTCATTTACGCTGTTATTTAATTGAGAATTTAGTATTGCGTATACCTTTTAACTACTGTGTTCACTCTTGAAGGCGTTAGAGATTCTTCTGGTGTCATCTAATTGATGACGAAGTTTATAGCTTTGTTTTAGAAGTATTTCGGCATAAGCATTTACTAGCTTCCAGTACCTTTGTGTTTTTGTTTTTGAAGCTTAACGTATATCGTTGTACTTTTTTAATGGAATTTTTTTGAAGGATATAATAAAAGTAATCGACGTTCTTTTGCATTTGGAAGATGTTTCCCCTTCGTTAAAAAATGCAGCAGTTGAATGCGTTGAACAGTGGTTGAGCATGCCTTCTATAGATTTACTGGAATGGCGAAATGTTTTGGTTTCTGTGTTCACAAGTGCATCAGCAGATCTGTGGGTGCTGTTGTTTTTTTGCATTAGGAGACTTTGCTTTCAATTTTTTATTGTCTTCTGGAAGTTACTATGACATGGTCAAAATTAATTTCATTTATCTGTTCTCTGTGTTTTACGTTTTTCTGGAAATTTGAAAGTAGTCTTTATTTTAGTGGTGCTGTGGCTCGTATCTTATCAGTCGTAACGTGTTGCGAGAACCTCACCAGTCTTGAAAATTTTGTATACGATTTCGGAAGTTTTATTGTTGCAACTGTGTGTGAGGTAAATTTTGTTTTCGGTGGTTGCTTTGGTAAAAAGTTTTGAATGAATATTATTGTTCAGCCGTTAAAAGTACAAACAGAAGCTGCACTAGCGCGTGGAACGTTGAACGATGGTGATCTTGTAGAAATGGAGGAGTTATCGAGTGTTGTGACAGCCATTGCTGACTTTTGTTCTGCATCTGTTCGACAGTTGCGCAAAGCGTGTTTTCTTAGAAATGATTTAAGTCTAATTAAGTAAGCAATCTTTTGGTGTACTTCTACTCTCTTATTCCCATTCCGTTTTAGTTACGAAATGAAATCAGCTGGGACATCTGTTTTTTAGCTCCATCTGTTCATTCCTCTGCATTTTCTCGACATGGCCAGGTAATTATCCAATTGACGAAACAGTTTCCGAAGGACCGGAAGTCTTTTGGAATTCTTTAAAAGAGGAAATAGATACACTGAAAGATGAAGAAAAGGCCAAGGCTTGTTTTGTTTTGTTACTGTTGTAAATTTCAAAGAAGTGTATATGCATTTCTGGTTTATCATTTTACATTTTTATACTGCCGAAAAATTTTTTTGTACTTCGCGCATTTTCGCCGAGGTAAAATCTTTGCCGATCTTGCTGACTTTTTTTCTTCTTTCTTTCTGTTTTTTAATTTACCTGTTTTTTAGCTTGTTGCAATCTGTAGGCCTCACTATGCCGCATTATTGCAATCTGCAGTGAATAAAATTGCATATCCTCCAGACAGGCAACTACAGGAGAATTATGACAAAGAGCAGATGGAGAAGCTCGACATGTTAGTTCAGCTTTATATAAGTCGAGAGATTCATGTCATTAAGTTGTTGTCAAAATTTGTTTTTGTAGGTATCGCGCATTGAGAGTGGAGATCTCGGTACACGCTTTTGCTGTTATAGGGCAAGAAACTTGTGCTTTTCTTTGCGGGCAGTTGCACGAGGCTATAAACGCCAAGTGTTTGTGCAGGTGGAGTATGACTTTTTCATTATGGCTGAACATTTTTCTTGGTCGGCTTTCAAGGCTTTTCTTTTGTGTAATGTTTTAGAAATTTTTGTTGTCATTGAGATTTGTAGGATCGAAGGAATTTTGTTTTTATTTGAAAGAGTTGCCGACTATTTGACTGAGGCAGATGCTGGCTACATAAGAGATGTCGTCGAAAGCTGTCTTGTACTGAAATTATGGGGTTTGTCAGATGGACCAGATGAATCAGTTTTAGGAAATTCGTTAATGAATCTGTTATACGCCTTTTCTCACTTAATTTCTTGCGGAACAGATGTAAGACTGAAGAGCAATTAATTTGACGTTTCTTTGACAAGTTCTGGGAATTATTTGATATCCTGTTTCTATCTCGAAAAGTTTTTAAACTAGATTGTGTAATTAATATTCATTAAAATTTTTAGGCTGAAGTATTGGAAGAAAAGTGCTTTGATTTAATTTTCACATTTTTACGAAACATAAATGTAGCAGGTGAAGGATTGAAAACGCTGCAGAAGTTTGTGGAAGATCGACCACCTAGTCTTGTTGTAAGCGCGTTTTTAATGTTAGCGTGCCGAATTTGCTTACTCTGCCAGATGAAGAGTTATTATTTGGGGCTTAGCTTTTGCTGAATTAGGTTTTCAGAAGTGTTCGGATGCAGTATATAACAAGTGTTATGAAATATTCTCAAACACAGCCATACCTCAACGACTGCGGTTAGCTGCTGTCAAGTGCGTTGGGTACGCTTTGTCTGTAAAAGACACGGCCTATGTTCTGGTAATTATAGCTTTAATTATTTGGCAGTCTGTAGTCTTTTTCAGTCTAGGCTTTAAAGTAACTTGAAATCATTTTGCTTACAGAGTCAGTTGGATAACATACTTGCTCCTCAGTTGAGAACGTTGCAGTCTGTACTTCAGGGTCACACTCCGTCTTGTTCTCAATCTTCAGAAGATTTGGAACAAGAGTGTTTGTTCGAATTAGGGGTTTTTACGATGCTCATAACCAGTCTTTCGCCAAAATCAGGTAAAAAGTTTCGAAAACTGCTGAGGAGTTCGTGTTTATTCATAATATTTTTTAATTTACTGTAAGTTGCGGACTGCATTGTCAAGATGGAGTAATCTTGAACCTCATTATCATGTGCCTGATCTTAGTTCTATTATATTATTGAAAAATTTGAATTTAGGTGAAAGAAATGAGAATTTTGTTGATTCGCCATCTTTCCGTGTCATACAACACTGTATGCCTGTGTTTCGCGGGTTAATTGAACAATATACTTCTTCGACTGTGCTTGTAAGCAAGGTAGCTTTGACAGAGTTTCTCCACTATGCTATTTTTACTTGTTCAATATGTTTTTTAAATTTTCTTCGAAATTTTCAGGTAGTAGACGTTCTTCGCGCAAGTCTTTCGTCTATGGGTGAAAATTTAATCCCCTTGATAAATACTTTTTACGACATAATAAACACACTCCTTCTCAGACAGCCAGACCACGCTTGTTGTTTAGCAAAGATCATGCTCTTGGTTAGACCTTTTTTTGCTGGTATATTTATTCGGAAATCTTACGTCTTAATGGTTTGCTATCATTTCTGTGTTATTTAGACATTCACGGACCCCAAAATCAAATCTGAATTATGTGCTAAACTTCGAATCTGGTTTGATACAATAAGAACTGGTTGTTTTGACGAAATACCGAGCAAATACATTGATCTCGCTTATCATGTTATAAGGAAAAATTGGAAAATGCTCAGGGAAAACCAACAAGAATCAGTGCCACTTATAAAAGACGTAGTGGAATTGAATATCAAGGTTTTTACCTCTTGCCTCTTTCGTTGTTTACTGATCACAAAAAAAGAATGAAGAAACAGATTAAAATCACTGTCATAGTGTTTAGGTCTTAATGTCTTCCGAAGACCCCAGTTTGACTCGTAGAAGTGCTGTCGTATTATCAACTTTGTTGAAGAACTTTGTTGAAAATGAATGTTTTTTGGATTTGATGCGAGAAGTTGCTCAACCGGTGCTTTCAGTAACATTCTCAAGGCTACAGGTAGAATTGACGAAGTCCGTTGTGTCGTCATTAGCTGAAATATTGATGTATTACGCAAGGAAGTACCCATTAGAGACAAGGTAAGTGATGCATATAGGTGTTTTTTTTAAACACTACTTCGGGGCGAGAGACTCATGGGTAATTTGTTTTAAAGTTGTGTGGTTATACTACAGAGTGCGGAGGAAGTTTCACTAAATGCCTTCTGAGTTAATCACCTAATAAATTCCATAGTGACGGAGGCTATTTCTTACATTTTCGTTCACTCCTTTACCCAACTGTTGCTTCTGAAACTATTTCTTCCGGGATTAATCAAGTTAAATTATGATCTTCAATACTAAACTTTTATCAATAATTGCCTTAATGAATCACGTAAAGACGAAAATAGGTGTTTTAACACTTATCGTGTCCTACGTGGCAGTTTACCCGGCAGCTCGACGTTTCAAAAAGGATTGTGAATTAAGAAGCAGGATGACTGGCAAAGTGGTTAGTCCGACAGCTAATAATATTCTAATTGCTCTAGTTGTCAAAGTACAATCGCGAGTTCAGGCTGGTTCGCAAAATGGTTAAAGCGCACAAAATCGTTCATAAAATTTTCTCAAAAAACTTAAGTTGTCATTTACTCAAGTAACTCGAAAGAGCTAGGAAAAAGGATGAGGAAGGGGACTGTTGAAAAATGAATAGTGGCGCCGAGTAGATGTAAAAGCCGTACAGCGCAAAATATATGGATGGATAACTTCTTGCTGCTCAGCACTCTTTAAACGTTCAAATTGACGGGATGAATTTGGGAAGAAATTTAAACCTTTTGGAAGTAGACCAAGAAAACGACAATGCCCGAGGGATATCTGCAGATGATAAGGCACTGTTAATATCTACCAAAATCGTGCCAAAACTAGAGCAGTGTCATTAAGAAGAAACGGTGAAAAAACGGGTTTGTTGAACAGTATTCTTCAAAAAGTCAACGATCAGTATTGTTAATTTGGGCAAAATTCAGCCTGTATATAATAAAGAACCAATGAAACTAATCTGTATCCTTTCCTCAAAAATCAGAGCAAGGAATTTCGCCTTGTAACTTCTCTGATTTAAGTCATGCGGGCTTTGCTATTTGAATGGTTCAGAGAGTGGAGGTCAAGTACTACGTCACCACGCAACCGACGTCCTAATATCAGCGCTACAGGAGACTTAAAATTCAGCCGGTAAACTGGAGTATTTCGGGAAATTCCGAAGAATATTTATTACTTCAATGATAAAGGTGGAAATTTTAAGTCCCAACTTAAGAAAACATTACATGCTTTCCTGAAATAATGTTGCAAGTAGCAGTCCTCCTTGAGAAACAAGTTTAAATTTTCAAGTTAGCATTCATAGCAGAACTTGTTCCGCACGCATCCTGTAGTGTTTATCATTGGAAGCGTCAAGAATTCAGAAAAAATAAGATTGAGGTCAAATCCTAAATTTGATTTGCAAGGTTTCCAACGCCCAACATAACATATGGTGAAGGAGCCTAACATGATTTAAGGTGTCAACTCACCGGGCACGTTTTGAAGTACTATAACAACCATTGTTGCTTCGTTTTTTGAAAATTGTTGGCGCTAAATCATGCATTGTGTTACAGACAATATCTCAGCGCTCTGCCTAATGGAGACGGCATCCTCGATTGCTTGAAAGAAGCATTTATGGCTAAAAATTTCAAAAATATGGTTATAGTGTTTAATGTTGCAATGCGGCAGAAGGTTACAACGTAAAGTTTCCTGACTGATCGAAAACAGTGGTGCATTTAGTTTAATAGGCCGTAGGCCTCTGCATTTGCTCACAGAATAGGCACTAACTAGTTGTCTTCGTGGTAACCTGTGATTTAATACTCATTTTTTTGCTGGCAAACGATCTGAATATTGTATCGTATATATGTTGCTATACAAGGTCCCTCTATCTCCTGCTGGTTCTTGTTATTTTATGTATATTTTACTGCTGAATAGTTTATGGGCAAGTTTGCAATCAGTCTGGGTTGGCTTCTTTACTTAAATCTGTAGTTGGGAAAAAGAAGTCTAAAATTTGTAATAAAGGGCACGGGACAACTTACGATATTTATTAGTGTCTGTTTTTCCTGATCTTTCTCTCGAGCGTATTTGTAGTTTCAAAAACCAATTGTTTACCTGTAAGTCTGACCGACTTTTGAAACTTATCAATGTCCTCGGTACTGGTACAATCAAATGCCACCTGTAAATAGAATGGAAGCAACCTTTTGAGGTCACTAAAGTGTGTGATACGACACCCCTCCTACAATGACTATCAAAAATTTCCTCCTCAGATTCATCCATGGTTTTGGACAAACTTTCAAAAAACTTCTATGAATCTCCACTTTCGAGTACAAGAGGCAATTTCCTCCTAATAAGTTGGCCGATGGAAGTCAGCAACAGGGGTTTCCTGATGTCTTCTAGAAATTCGTGCTGCTGAAGTCCAAAGGCAATCTAGCTAGCTGTCCCGTAGCAACACCCAGCTAGCTATATTGTACTGCTTTCCATTCAAAATCATCGGAACAATGTTCAAAAAATCTAATCTATTTTAAGCGGACCTTAAGAATTAATATTTTTATTGTGCAATTCGGATAATAAAACTTCTATACGTAAATATAACATCTTCGACAACAATAACGTGCATTGTAAACCCCCTGCATTAAATATTAGAGTGGAGGCTACTCGAGGAATCCCAAATAAATTTTTTTACCATCTAAGGGCCTCCGGTCACCCCAAAGAAAAAACTACACAATATCAGGAAATCTGAATATCAGAAAGATAAAGTAAAGAAGCATACAGTTTAGAGACTAAAGCATATGCAGATTCAAAACCCATGCAACTTGCAATTCTCCTCCTTTACAATCCCAACTTTACAAAGGAAATCTTTAATATGCTGCCTCTGATCTCCAGTTAATTGAATTACTTCTCCGTATTCGGGATGATCTACGGTCGTACCATTACAATTGTATTCCTTCTTTAAATAACGAACTATTTTCTTTAAATCATATTCCGGAGCAATACCTTGAACAGTGGTAATTGTCTTCCTGCCCGTACGTTGCTGGATTCGAATATGACAGAAGCCCTGACGAGTTCCCTCTTCATCCTCCAATTGTTCAAAGGCATCTTTAGGCTTGTTTAGATTTTGTATTGAGTCAACCATCTTTAGCCTTCAGAATGACGAATAACACTAAAAAGAAAATTCTTTATTGAGTAGATAATGAGTCATATCTGATTACACCGTACCTCCCAATAAAATAGTGGAGCAGAAAAAATTTGTTCTGGCATTGCTTTAATTCAACATCATGATTCACCCCATCAGTTTCAGCCATCCGCTCTCAAAGGATGTTCAAGAAATTAGTTAGATTGCCACAATTTGTGATTTTTTTTTCACACTACAACATCGAAAAGCCATAATCTCTTTCAGATTCAACCTTTGTACTCGAAGTGAAAGTTTTGTGAATTTGAACATGTGCCAACTGGACTGTCTTAACTATATCGTTTCTGCGAAAAAGCTACATCCCAACAGTCTAAAAATCTGAAAATGCGTTTCCGACATCACTCTTTTCAAAGTACTTCTCATCGCCGATTCCACCTAAATGTTAAACAAATAGTAAACCGAGCTGAGATGTTCGCTTCTACCCGCCATATTAGCTTAACTCGTCTCTACAGGCTCATTCAAGCATTTTGGACAACTGCGTCCATAACAGAGAATATTCTGAAAACAACATCGAAGATGTATCTGTCAAAATTCCGCAGACCTATAATTTAGATTCCTGTAGACATGGGATATTCAAACTACTGTTTCGTTGGCAAAAACATGAATCCAGCGGATTTTCACTCTGAATAGCTAGATTTAACACGAAAAAAACTACGACACTTTTAAACTCTCAAAATTAAGAACAGACATGCCACACTCCGATTCAATAAAAAAGTTAACAGTCAGATAATTCCTAATATTTGTTGAAGCTCAACTCGAGTGGCGATTGGTAAGTGAAATTGAAAAAAGCACAATAAATGCACAGGAAAGTCCCTCACGGCACAGGTTCCTATGGTATCTTTCTTGGTAACCATACGGTCTCTATCTATTAGATAAGACTCTTTGATGGAGTAAATAGCATTCTACACCAAAATGATAATATTTTGCTTCACCGATGTAGGTTAAATCTTCAAAAAAATGAATAAAAGGAAAAATAAATCACTAGAAACCTGGTCTTCGGTTAAGGCTCTTAAAACACCAGTAAAGAGGCGCTGAACAAGTTGGTGATAAAGGCATTAGCCAACAAGAAAGGATCAAGTGGGGGCAAGAATATCCAAAAGATGAAAACTTTTAAGAATTCCTTACGACTCTTTAACATAATGCAAAAGAAGCTTTTTTAAATAGAGCCTACTTTTTACAAAAAAGATCTTTACGGTGCTTTTCAGTATCTGTTTATAAAAGTGAAAAAATAATCCACAATGACAAAGCGAAATGACCAAGCGATTAAAGCAAAAAGAAAAAAAAACCATTTCAGTAAAACTTGTTAAATATTAAACAACACATCGATAATATGGTGCAATCTTTGTTCAACGAGTAAAAAAATATCAAAACATCAAATTTTTCCAAATTTACTGTTGATTAGCCGAGTTTATCAGTTAAACAGCAACTAATAAGCAACGTAAAAAAGAAGATTAATTCTTCACCTGTTTATAGCAAAAGAAATTTTCGTTTTTTCGTCGAAGCCTCTTCGCCTAG